TACAGGTCTCAAGGTTGTGGGGAAAGCAGGGGAGGATGCTGCAGCTCTCACAGACTGCCTGCAGACACCGGTGGCCGCATCCATCCATCACCCCAGCCCCCGTGTGCAATCCATCACTCGCTCTCTCCACCAGCAGCATCCTCCTGATGCCTCCCAGACACACAGCTCACCCTCCTCCCCCCCGACTCTGTGCCCTTAAATTCAGCTGAAACTGCGTTTGCTGCTAAAGAAAAGAATTTCTTTCCTCGCAAACTTTCCCACCAGCTTTTGGTATTGGTGTCCATTTGAGTGCTGCGGAGCTGCTGGCTGCACTGAACATAGCAGCAAGGCAAAGCTGATGTGTGTCTGGAGGTTGTCACGTTAAATGGAAATGCATCCCCAGCCCTATCCTGCAGTCCTTATGGTTTGGGAATAAGTGAAAGTCCTCACTGAGAATTATGAGACACGAAGACAGAGGGTTTCAAAGCCATCCAACTAAGTGAAAATGTTCTAGCAGTTTTCTCTTTTCGCATTTGGCTTTTTTCCCCCCAAGTGAAATATGGTCCTTCATCTGGAATTTCCTGAGAGGAGCACAGAAACCCATAGTCACGGTTTGAAAAATGACAATTAATCTCCTTAATTCAGTATTTTGAAGGAAAACCTGTTTTGCTGGATTTTTCAAATGATTCATTAAAAAAAAAAAAAAAAGAAAGAAAGAAAAAAAAAAAAAAAGGAAAGAAAGAAATTCCACATGGGCAGCAACAGCATCTCTCCACTTCTGGCAATCAGCTCCTGAGAGCTGCAGCCTTATCCCTGGGGCTCCTAAAGCAGCAGCCACGGGGTTATGATTCTCCTCCTTTGCTGAGGGTTTGGGCTTCACCCCTGGCAGCAGAAATGGGACTGGAAGGCTTTATGGCAGTGCATTGCCCCTGTGCTGCGCTGGCCCCAAAATCCATCTCGGAGGGTTTCACTGTCAGCATGGATCCTCCACTTAGGCAAAACAAGCACAGAGTAGAGGAGAAAATCGTGGGGTCCATTTTGGCACGGTCACAGCTCTCCTTGCAGTCAGATCCCCTTCCTTCAGATTGACGTTTTCAACTTCAGCTTGTTTTAAAGGAGCCTTGGCTTGCACCAACCCAAAAGCAAGGAGAGGCATCTCCACCCCTGCAGCCACTAGATGGTGCCAAGAGAAAGAACGTGGGAGGAACAGGGGGGAGGAAGAGAAGGGCACCCAAAAATCCCTTGCCTCCCAAAAGCCACGGGGTGAGGGACATCTTCAGCAGATGACGATGTGATGCACGGAAAGAGGGAGATTTCTGCACCATTGCAAAGGAAACGTGTGCAAGGATGGGACCTGGAGTTTGGGCATGGAAATAGGGTTGGGTGGGACGTGATTCTATGACACGGATGCACTGGGTGGGCCTGCAGGTATCGCAGCCTCCTTGCCCTGTGTGAAGTATAGATGGGTTTGGGGAGCATCTCAGTTGTATCTCCAGATCACAAAAAAAAAAAAACGTCATTTGGCTTTGTTTCAATGAAAGCTAGAAGTTTGAAAAAAAAAAAAACTCCAAAGCTGAGTGAAGTTTCTCTGTATCTGTCAGCTTGCTGAATTTACCCATCTTTGCCAGGTTTGAGTCTCACATTATTTCTGGTTCTCCTGACTGCCCCGATTCCCGGAATCCCGGGTATGATACAGATGAGACTCAGGTTTCTTTTCTTTGTTTCTTAACTTAGGAGGTTTCTAAAGCTGTCCGAGTTGGCTCCATCTCAAAAACATGACCTTGAGGCACCTCAGGGGCTCAGAAACTCATGGCTGTTCCGAGGGGATGCATAAAAGGCGCTCATGAGCTTTGGGTCCTCTCCATGCCACAAGGGCTCTCACTGGGTTTGCATTTGTGTTGATTTGCTCTGGGAAGGATCCTGGGGCTTCGGTGGGGTTGGACTCAGCACCCTGAGCTGTGCATTCACATACAAAGGCTCTGATTTCCAACTGGGCATGGAAAGACTCCAGAAGAGCAGAAAAAAGCAGAAATATTGGATTTTCTGTGGTTCATCCCCTCCTGTGCCTTAACAGAGCAATGCCATGGCACATATGGAGGTGGGGGATGGGATCTATACGATGTTCTCCTGTGGAAACTGAGGCATGGAGGGGTTGTGCTGCACTGAGTCACAACTCATGGATGAAAGCAAAGGGGCCAAAAACCATTTACCCACATGTTTTCTACCTAATAGGGAAGAAAAAATTGCCTGCAGCATGAGCACTTCTCTTCTTCCTTTCTTCTTTGTCACTTCCAGATTTGAAAAAACACCACCAAAGCAGCACTGGGCCAGATTCTCCCCCTAAATTTTTCCAGAATTTGAGAATTTCTTCTTTCTCCCTTTTTTTTTTTCCCCTCTCCCTTAACCTGCAGTCAGTACCAAGGGGGTGGAAGAGCAAAACATTTCCAGAGATGAAACAACTTGCTCATCATGCCAAAGCAAAACCCTCATTCAGACAGAGTTCAACAAGGTGCGGTGATGCACCACGGTTTGGCAGCTAAAGGAGCTCAAAGCCTCTGTTAGAGCCTGACCTGAGGCGTGCTGCCGTGACCACGCCGAGCCTCCTCCTCCTCCTCACCTCTCCATTACTGGGAGCCAGCTGCAGCGTGTAGGAGAAAATGCCCCTGTCACGGCTCTCTGCGCTGTGTTATTGTTAGTGTTACATTACAAATCCCGTTTCCATGCCGAGGTCCCGGGGGGGTCATAAACAGGGGAGGTCAGGACCCTGCCAATAAACAGGCCCCCAGCCCCAGGGCGGCCTCCCCGCCGCACTGCAGGCAGCATTTACCTCCAGCACCCCGGCCCTGCATCCCAACCACAAAGCATCCTCACCATGAAGCTCAGAATCCTCCGAAATCCCCCTCAAGCACAGCACAGCAGCCATGCAGGATGGCTGGCATTGCTTCCAGCTGCTTGCAGCTCAATCTGTAATTAACAGCCTCGTGGAGATGCAGCTTTTAAAAATAGGCACAAGCAGGAATTGTTTCCCCTCTTCATTAGTGTGTGTGTTTGGCTGGTGTTGCTTAGTGGCAGCTTCAGCCAAGCATTGTTGTCTAGAGCAGATTTGGTGCACAGCTTGGCGGTGAGTTGTAGGTGTGGAACACACTCACGGGTGCAAAAACATCTTAAAATAAGATCACTTGTGGATGGGGGTTCAGTGCCGGTCCTTTATGCACACCGTGGAGATGGTTTGCTCTCTTGCTGGTACATGAGGTTTGGAAAACATCCCAAACATCCTCTTCCACCAAAGCATTTGCAACCCCAAGTAGCAGCCAGGAAAATGTTAACACAAAGATTTCTGGAGATGTAATGGGATAAGATCCCATCTGATCCCATTAGGAAGATGCACAACAGCTGATAGGGCAAATATTGGGAACTTTCTAGCCTGCAAACGCCTCCTCTCACCCTCCTCCCCAGCACTGCTGAGGATGTTTCTTATTAATGTACAGCTTTATTTTGCTGCACAGGGTGGGAAAAGGATGGAGAAGCAAAACTCACCCAAGTGAAGGATAAAACTTTGGCTCCACTGCTTTTGATCCCCTTTTCCCACAGTCTGCTCCCGCATCTTCAGCCCTCCTGTGGTTTGGGTTTGCAGCTCTGGGTAGATATTGGCAAAATGGGGGTGGACATAGGAAAAAAAAGGGGACTGGAAAGGACTGCAGGAATGTCAGGCAGCTTTAAGCTAAGTGTGGGAGGGAGAGAAGACAGAAAATGATGCTATGAGAAGGCACAGTTGTAACGACCACATTCAAGCTCCTGGAGGGAGCAGGAATAAAACTCCACAATAAATCACAGATTTCATGAAGACCATACCAGCACAAAGCATCGAGGTTTCAGGATAATTTAAGAGCTCAAACACCACTCAGAGCTGTACCTCTGCTCCAAAGGCAATGAGGGCTTTTGCAAAATCTCCCACGCAGGTGCCATGGGAGGGTTTCAGGCAGTAGTAGCACTCGGCTGCCCAGGTCCAAGAGGCTTTGATGGTGCCTCTGCATCTTGCTTGCTGCAAGCCTGCGGGCTGAAAGGCACTCCTGAGTCACACGTCCCGAAACCATGCTGCAGGTAATGTGCTAACACAAAAAAAGAGAAAAAGTGGAGAAAGAGATAGAAGAAAGCAAAGCTTGCCTGCATTGAGCTTGGGCTGGTGGTATCCCAGCACATCAGAGTGCCCTGTGCTCCAGCACCATTGCAACATGGGGCTGTCTAAGACCAAAGCTTGGGCCATTGCAAACTTCTGCTGCAGACTGAATGTTTTCAGTTTGGGGCACCTCATGTTGGCTCAGAGTGCACCTAAAGTAGCTGATAAGTCAACAGAGGACCCACATTTCTTAAAATATTGGGCCACCGCATTGTTGATGCTCAGCATCAAACCTCTCTCCTGTGCTATACCTCTCTGGAAGTCACACAGATGCAGCACAGAAATTTCTGTTGTCTGCCTGAGCTGGGGTTCTGAGCGTTGCCATGATCACCCAAAAAAACCGAGGCAAACAGCACGGTGACTCAGAGTTACGTGTGAGGTTGGTTTCATGTCCACGTGAAAAGAGCTCCCCATCTCACTTCTGCGCGTGGGGCGGGTTGGGAACGGCCCATTGTAAAGGCAGCAGCAGCATTTTGCTTCGGTTTGCTTGGTTTTGCTTTGTTGTGCAGGCAGCTCACCCAGAAGCTGAGCAGCACTTGAGATCAAGATAAAGGGTTGCAGAGCAATAGAGCCCCCGCAATAGGAAGAACAAAATATATGGGCACAGAGAGCAAAGAACCACAGCCGTTGGGTGGCAAGGCACAGGGCACTGGTGGCAATGCTCAGTGCTGGCTCTTGTAGCTGCTACACAGTGGGGAAATGTGAGGCATGACTCAACCCGAGGGCTCTAAGTCCTCTCTTCAAATCATGCTTGGAAATAAGGATGCGCCTTTGTAACAGATCAATGCAAATAGGCTGAGAGGGGCCAAGGTCAGAGAAGAGAACACCAGAGTCTCGGTGGCAATCAGCTTTCTGGAGGCAGATTTTAATCCATTTGTAGATCAAAGCTTTTAATTGCATCATTTTGCAGGACAGTAATAGCTAATGGGAAAGGGTAAATATTGTTCGCAGGTGTCAGGAGATAAAATAGAGGAAATCTCAGGCGTTTCACCCACCAAAGCCCCACATCTCCCCCACCCCAACTGGCAGCAGGCATGGGAATGGGGAGAGCAAAGTGCCCGAGACTAAATATTGTTTAAAACCAAGACCTGCTGCAATTAATCCACGTGCTCTTACATAAACAGTCTCCCTCCTATCCACATCTGCAATCTTTTTTTTCCTCTTTCATGGGGAAGGCTGTGTATTTGCTGCCCAGGGAAAACTATGCAGCATCCCTGATGGGTCCAAGCAGTGCTGCTGGTACAGATGGCTGTAAACACAAATATAAAGTTATTGCAAGCAGTCCTTGGCAACCATAAAAGTCAAGAGATGCTTTGCAATGGTGAAAAAGCACCATTTACTTAAATAGAGAACATGGGGAGGACATGGGGACACACTTGCTCATTTGACAGCAGCTGCAACATCTCACACCTATTGGAGGGTTTGGGAGCTGTTCTCAAGGCTTTGGTGGACTGGGTGAGGGGTTGGTGAGTAAAATTGGTCAGAAAATGATTTTGTGTCCAGGGAAATTTTGAGTGAAAGTGAGTCAGGGAGGAAACGTGCTGAAAAAGGTCAAATTAATCTCCAGAAATGCAGACAGTTCAATGCTTTGACAAAGTTACCCTTTTCAGAAGGAAGCTGATATTTTCCTGTGCGTGATGGTGTGTTCTCCATTAAAGAGAAGCTGCCTTAGTGGAAACCATGCCAGCCTCCTAAAAAACATCACATAGAGATGTTTGAGCAGAAAGAAATCCCCTCAAATGCCAAATAGACAAAAGAAAAAAAAAAAGAGTTCTGTTAAAACCCAAAGATATCACAGACTTTCAGGTGTGAATCAGCCAAAGCAGGCTAACACCAATATCCCTGCTCCTCACCTGCCTCAGTCAGGCAGAGCCCTCCAGGGAGCACCTGAAGCCTCAACTGAAAACAAACTCCCTTTTTGGTTTGGTTCCCCAAATCAGGCTTTATTTTTTCTCTTCAGAAACCAAAAGCCTGCAGGATCAGATATGTTGAAGCCCTCTGTCTTCTGGTTTTGTTTGTTTTTAATGGGAAAAGTTGGAAGGGAAGAAACCAATCCCAGCCACAATTTGCCCTCAATAAAATCCCCATTTTCCACTGATGCATTATGGATTTCATACAGCCACAGAGGTTTTTCCCTCTATCAGAAAACATTCACAGCTGCAGAAGACAGGAGTGGTGCAGACTCAGTTCCGTTTAAATATCAACAAAGAAGTGAAGCTCCTCCACCCATTTTGCTGGTGCTGAGCATCCCAGCCAGCAGGATGCTCTGCCTTTCACCTCCCTCCCACCATTGCACATAAAGCTGCAGTTTGTTAACGAAGCCCTTCTGTAATTGTATCCCCACCTTACGCTGCTGTAACCTTCTCCAATCTCTAAATGAACGGGCTCAGTTCTTTTGATCCCCATTTTGCCTCCAGCTCCATCCCCCAGCCCCAAACTTCCTCCTCTCTGCCTCGTAAAAGGATTTCTCCCCAAGAAACGTGGTTGCTGTTTTACTGATAGGGTCAGGACCTTTCCTTTTTTTTGTTTTATAGCCCGCTGGGGAGCGAGGCTTTCCATCTGGGGAGATATGTAATGCAATCCCAAAATAACAGCGCAGTGCCCCATGCACAGAGGAGGGACCAGAACACTCATCCCATGGTGCAGGACCAGCACCACACAAGATCTTCCAAGAGGAAGGTTTATATTTATGTATGTGTGTATTTACTCCAAAGCCACTGTTCCTGTGTGCTGCACCTAAGATGGAACTTCTCCCAGCTTCCTCCAGCTTATAAGAGCCAATCTGTTCTTGTCCTTAAGGTGGGGGGCTGCTGGCATTGATGGGGCTCTAGCTCCCATCTCCCTTATACATGCAAACCAGACCTGCATCAGACATTTAAGGGCAGGCACTGGTTTTTCTCCTCTCAGGAGCAGCTGCATGCCACAGGAGCACTGTGGAGAGGAATACAGAAGCACCAAAAGGAACCTCAGGTTACCAGGTCCATGAGCACACTCATCTGGGGAGCACTGACTCAGCCTGAGATGCCAGCCCACAGAAGAAGTGGGTGTGCTGGTAAACCCACCCCAAGCACACCCTTTTTGTCAGATCTTCCCCTTTTCTCATTTATCTCTTGGCTTCCACTCTTCCCACTCATCCTCCCTTCCAAAAGAGCTGTGCCTTTATAGGCTTCCCCTGTCTGCCTCTTGCTGTGCTTGGCACAGCCCAGTTATTTTTTCCTTCACCTGTAATAATCATTACTACTACTATTACTCTTAGTATCACCCATTATTGTAATTAAAGAGAAAAAGACACCCCTCCATCCTCACACATCCAGGTCTTGCTTTGTTACATTTTGATGTTGGCTGCTCCAAGTGGTTTCCAGAACTACACAGAAGCTCCTGTGGCTGCCAGAGCTGCACAATCAGGCTGGTTTGCATTTGAAATCCATTAAAACCAGCAGGCTGCATTGATGAGGTGAAGGCTTTGGGATCCCTTGTGCTGAGCCCTTTAGAGCAGTCTGCTGCAGCATCCACACTTGGAAAAATTCAGCTTTGAACCCAAGGGGACACCTCAAGCATGGCTGCATCCTGCACCATCCCATATAGGTAAGGGAGAGGGAGAACATTGCTTAAGCTGAGAACTCAATATGGAGGGGGGTTTCCACTAAAGATATCCAGGGATCTTGGGATAGATAACACCTTTGTTTTACCTCCTGAGCAAGCCTATGAAGGTGTCAAAAATTCCAAAGAAAGGCTGGATGCCCAAGTAGTAAAGGGCAGAACCCACCCCAAGGCCTTTGCAGCTCATGCTGCTTCTGCCTACATCTGCTAAACCACCAGAAAGAGCCATTTCAGTCAAGACTCACAGCCCTACTTGGCAGAGCACAAGTATTAGTGTGGGGTAGGCAGGGCACAAAGCTGTGTGCCCTGGGGATAAGTGCTGGTGTATGGCAGGCAGGGTGGATGAGGATGATGCTGTCAGCAATGGCACTCAACAAACAGAGCCCAAACACCTACAGACCTTGCTTTTCCAGCCACCTTTTCCCATCCTCCCCTTTGTTAAAATGTTTGCTGTTTCCAGCATGGACAGGAAATCAAATTAAACGTTTTTCCCTCGCAACCAAATAAACATCAACTTATTTTAGAAACACAGCCTGGAAAGAAACACGTAAGCTCTTCCCAAATCCCCTGTCCCTTCCCAGCTCCCTGATAAGACCCCTGTGACATTATTTTCTTTACAAACCCTAATGGGAGGAACAAATGGTAGAGAAAGGCACGAGTCCCCCATTACCCTGATGTCCTCACAACACATCAGCCCACCTTTGTCTTTTCGAAAGGGGTTTTCAGTTTTGAAATGAATGTCTGTGTGTACATTCGTTTGTTCTGAAGGAGGGTTTTAAGCAAATAGATGCACTGCTCCTTCCGTAGGTGTGTTCTAAAAGGAATAAAAAAAAATAGGGGGATTTGGGATTTTTCTCCTCATTTTGTGAAAAATATTGGGGTGTATTGACTGGTTATTTTCATGGGACAGAAGGATGGGTTTGGAGGGAGATCGGGCCCTCAGCACAGCATAAACCACTAGAGGGCCCAGAAAGTGCTTTTGAGTGATGCTGGAACCACCCTCCACAGTCACCTTAAAAACAGCACTGCCCACACCCTCCAGAAAGTTATAGCTAAAAAAAAACACCAGCAAGAATAAACAGTCAGAAAAGAGCCAGAATTAAGAGGGCACCAGTGGTTATTTGGTATTTCACTACAAGACTCCCAGAAGTTCATAACCTTGTAACACCAAACGCTCATGCACTTCTGCAACTGTCGGGACATTACCCCTATTTATGATGTACATCTCAGCTGTACTGGCACCCACCTACACTCGCTCTACTGGCACAGGCATTCAGCCATGGCAGCCCCAGGCCGAGCTCTGCCATGTGTGCCCCATTGGCTCCAGGCTGCCGTGGCCAAAAATTGATAATTATTTCTCTTGGGCTTTTTAAATTGCTTTTCCACATTCCTCTCTGCAGTGTAAAAGGGAGCAGCTTTTCCTGGAATTATGCAGTTTGTAATATTTAGCTGCCCATTCTCTTACAGAGAATAGATGATGATTTTCATGTTAAGGGGAAATAATAGAGGTAGAGAGACATTTTTCTTCCAAAAAGGGGAAAAACCTCCAAGTTTGGGTTCATCCCACTGCCCACCTCTGCACAGATCTGAGCAAATTCCTCAACTTCCATCTACAAGCATCTCCCCAGGGCACTGGGTCATTACTTGCCACAATTAAATCGCCTTCAGCCTCGACTGTATTGATTGCAGCACACTGCAAGCCCTGAGCAGAATCTAAATCTCAATCTAAAATCTCCACATCCTTGGGGTAGGGAGGCTCTGAGATGTGACCCTTCTCAGCATGCTCTTGTTTTTCCCGCAGCACCAAATTTGTGCAGAGGACACTGTTTTGCCCCAAATTACTCCCAGATTCCCGGGCTCTGGACAACCCCCTTAAACCATTCCTTGACACTACAAGAGCCAGGACCTGTTGTTTTTTCATTCGCAGTGAGGTCCCTAAGTGCTGTCTCCCGTTAATTGCCATCTCCTGGAGCTGCACCTCCAGCCCCCTCCCAAATTAACCCCATCACTTGGCTAAGTCCCGAGGGAGCAGAGGCATTAACAGCAAGCAATGCCTCCTCAGAGACACCATTAAGACAGAGCTGGGAAACGCAATCTCTAATAGGGGCAGTAATGAGAGGAGTGGGGGAGGGGGTGAGGATGAATGTCTCTGTCCTGGAGGAGGATGGCACATGGGCTCTAAGCTAAGCTGCAATCATGCAAAGCCCAGAGACAAAAGCAATGATCTCAGCCCAGCACCTCACATAAATAACAAGATTCCAGCACCAAACTGAGTTCTCAACAGTGCTGCTCAGGCAAATAGAAGAGGTGAGAGAGCAGAAGGACATCAGATCGTTGGAGAGGAAGGCTACAGAGATGGGGAAAAGCCTACAGGGCAAAGCATATGAGGGGCAGCTGAAATCCTGTAGTTGGTTTGGCTCAGATGAGAGAAGGGAGAGGGTAGGCATCATGGCAGCCCACAGATCCTCACAGGGTTCATATGGATGATGATGTTTCCTGCAATTCTGGCCATACCCTGACCTGGTTTTGCTATCAAATGAGGCTGTGGCTGCTGCTGACCTGCTCTGCACGCTGCCCGGCAGGCGGCCTCCCCTCCCTGCTTTGTCTGCCTATGGCGCTCACTTCCTTTGACGTCTTTGGGTGAGTGTGGAGCAGAGGTGGCTCCGTGGGGTGGGCCAGATGATTTCGCAGCCTCCTGAATCATAGCAGCGATTCCTTCAGGAATCGTGGCAATGCATGGAGATAACCCAAGGAAATGCTGGATCAGGATGGAAGCCTGCCTGCCTTCCTCCAGCATCACCATGCTGAGATAACTGCGTCGCTCATCAGCAGCTCCAGTGCTGCCAAATGCCCTTATTTCATCACATGGATCTGAGATCCTGGCTCTCTACACAACCAACTTCGCCAGGCGCCCTGGAGTTGCTCAGCGTGCAGCCATCCTCCAACAGAATCCTCCATTAGAGTTGGTTAAGCAAGGGAGCAGCCTGTGCAGTGGGGCCGAATGCTGACTGTTGCACCTCAGTTTATCCCAATGCCCCAAACACCATGTATAAGGCTGCGTCCTTCCCCTCCAGCCACAGGTATCTTAAATCATCCCCGTTCACTTCCTCCCATCCCACCACAGCAAACCACCATTCCACCCATGTTTGAGAACAGGAGTAAAAATCCAGAACTGGCAGTGGATGATCCCACTGCTAACCCTTAACTACACTATGCCACGCTGCAAAGAAAGCAGCTCAGCTGCTGCAGTTCCCCTCTCCATTCTACATACCTTACTCCCCCAGGCCCGTGGAGCTGAGCTGCAGGGCAGTGTTAGCAGCCAGCTCAGTGGCCTTGGCTCATCCCTGCTGGCCTCTTCCCTGCTCCCTGTCCCTATTGTTCACAGGGCCCGGCCCTGACCCCATGTATTTATAACCCCCCTTTCCGGCACAGCATTGTGTGCACCCCACGTCCTGGATGAGCCGGGGCTCGACTCCATGCTTCCTCGCCTTCCTGTTTACAGGGCTCAGGAGGAGCCAGTCCTGATCACTCCTCAGCTGCCTCTGTAAAACCCTCGGTATCCTTCCAGTAGAGAGAGATGGCCCTGGAAAACACTTCAGTTCCCTGAAATCTGGAGAGGGATATGATACTGCCCAGTTGCAAACATGGCATGCACACAGCTGGCTTACAAACCCTGATGGGTTTTTTTTTTCTGTCCCAAAACAGAGGAAAAATGAATCCTGCTATTGGCAAAGCATCTCCCACGTTGCTTATCTATCTCCTGAATCAAGTTTTGTTGTGCTGTACTTCCTCCAGTACACACGTACTTCACACCAAGCAGTCAGGGCTGTCTGAAGTCTCTTTACCTCCATGCAATGCTGTATAGCTCCAACACAAAACCCAGACTCAGATTTGGACTCAAAGTTGAGTTTTCCTTCCTTCCAAGATCAAACAAAGGGTGGAACCCTATTGATTTCAAATATATAGCCACGCCTCAACTACGATGAGGTTTGCACTCATGGTTTGCTAGGAAGGAAAAAATTACCTATGCTCTTTGCTCTGATATCATCAGCAAAACCATTTATTACAACAGAAGGGACCTTTTGCCCGAATACATTTTATTATTCAAAAGGCAAATCAGCACTGGCAGGGAGACTGTGTTTGCCAAGAGAGCAGGAAGGCGCTCCTCGCGGTGACTCCACAGCAAAGCCAATCCCAGACAGGACAGGGCTTGGACATCTCTTGTCCCCACTTCCATCCTCTCAGCACTGCACAAAGGGATGATCTATCCTGATTTCCCCCCCCCCCCCCC